TGCACTTGTTTTAGCTGGATTGTGTTATTGGGCATATCGAGTGTTCTTGGCTATTCCCGATTTGATTGTTGTCCTACACCACCATTGGTTGTCCTACATGGCCAATGTATTACACAGCATTTCAATATGGATGTCAGTCGTTAGTACAATCAGCCATCTTCCAGAACATGCTTACACGTGTCTACAATTCATTGAACATCAACAAGCACTGATCTTCTCTGCGATTGGCTGTGCTTGTCACGTGATATTCAACGAAGCGACTTGGGATCTTGTTGTGGAGTGTCTTTGTTGAAACTCCCAGAAATCAGCTGCTTGGAGCAGCGAGACGTCTACAATATTTACTAGACACTGCATCGACTGGTTTCATGCAGCTGTTTGTAGGCAGTTATGCAGATCTGCCCAGGGAGGTGCTGCTGCTACTGCTCCGTGATTACCTGATGAATGGACCAGTATATCAAGTCAAGAAATGGTTCCGAGAGAACGTGGAAATTCCCGAAGTGTTAACCGACATGATGACTCATTCCATCAGTAGCATCACCCTTGGGGCCTTGGATGGGTCGCTKTTGGCAGACGTTGAACATCAAGACCGTAATGGACGATCTGTTGATCGAAGTACAAGATCTGCACCGCTCTTGAGGAGTGGGATGAACGGACGAATGTGAACAGGTTTGGCTGCAGACGAGATGGTTATTACCAGGGACATAATAGAGATTATACTAAACGCTTAACTTATTCCATTATAATATCATTGTAATTTATAATCATACTAACAACCTCAAATCTAACCTTGCGATATATACTGTCGTTCCATAAATTCTTATAATCTATAACTGGCCATTTTTCCCCTTTTCCAATGAAAACAATGGACGAATAAAGCATTTGTTGTATTGTTGAACTTTTTAGATAATATAAAATAAATCTAATGGAAAATACGTACGACTCGAATATTTGTCTCGGTGCAAAAGCCGGGTTTGGTATCGTACATGGATATCTAGTTATCTTTCAGCATGTCTACATGGGAGTCAGGGAGGGGGCGGAGAATTTTTTTGGTTGAAACATCATTAAGCCGGATTAACTATTATATTGTATTGTATAGACCCCCCTCCTCATTTCACACCACATGCCCGTGTCAGTCCCTTGAGAATAAGATTCTTCGTTCGAGATCTATTATAGTATTGCTGAAATCACTTGGCGTCATTTCATTGGCCACCACCACCAAGAGGCACTAGTTACAGTATAAATAAACCTCAAAGTTACACAGTACCGGATGTGAAGATGAGATGAGATTTGATATAATTATTTCATAAGAATCGATGTAATTCAGTATATTGTCAAAAAACCATGTGATTCCATCCTAAATCCTCCTGATGGATGTGTTTCTTTTACTGAGCGAGCTTTGTAAACAACAAAGATCATGGTTTAAAAATCATATATATCCACAAATACTTCTAAAATTGTTTTTCGTCTACGCCTCACGTCACGCTTTTTATGTTACGATCGGTTGTTTTATGCCAGTCTGTGTATGTATAGCATCGTCATTAGAAATTTGGTAAAGTTAAGCGATCAGCCAATAATAAATTAACGTTTATAATCGTAAACCTAGCTGTTCTCAGTCTAACAGAATTCAGTCTACACACACATACTACATACACACGTACCTGGTTGAACATTCAGACATACTACATCTCCCCTCATACACTGATGTCCATAATCTGTAGCATCACGAGTCCCGTTCCAAGCCTTCACTGGACGAGGAGCTGCAAATCTTAACTGGTCTATAGGCGGTTCAGCGTAAGGAATACCAAGGAACATTTCAACATTACGACCGTGTGGTACGGCTTCTCTTCGCCCAAAGATTCGACCACTGTGAAGATCGATGATAAGCGGATGTGTAGGACTCTCGTTTAAGGCTTTGACTAGATCAAGGGAAAGAGATACGAGAAAAAGCCAAATGCCAGTAGTGATGGAACGTTTTAGCGGCATTATGACTGAACCAAGCAAATCTACTTAGCCTCCTATGCAGACGTTTTTAGGGTCACAGTCGACGCCATGAAGCTTTTCTTTCCAAGTTGCGTGACGACATTTAGCCGAGCACAAGTTGTAACACGATAACGTGTTTCCGACTATTGGTTTTCCACTGTGGGAACGGTTTCCGCTGCTAACGTTATGTATGGAACTAAACTGTGGTATTCTGACTATTTTATTTAAAARTTATTTTCGGTATTTGGATTTAACACGCAAGTGGCGGAACCGTTTATAAAGAGGGGTTGCCTGATATGATCATTCTGACCGATTCTAGGATATACCTGAAAACATTCTCCTTTCCCAATTTTCACTCAGAACTGAGACCGAATAAAGACCCTTCGTAGGTCATATCCTTTGATGAACGTTTTTTTACCCCCTTTGTCCATCATCACTTTACAAAATGCGAAGTTAATGCTGATTTGTAGCAATAGCGATATTAAAGCGTGTGTGTTAGGACCCCTGTACCACTGGCTCCGCAATCGAGCTCCGGGTAAAGGATGTACTTGACAAAATACAGTTAAATTATACACCGTGAAAAGATGAAAAAACTTACTGAAGTTTCGGACGCTAGTCCTTCGTCTTTTACTCCGACGTCCGAAACGTTAGTAAGTTTCTTCATCTTTTCACGGTGTATAATTTACCTTTTTATCATTACTGTTTCATTAGAAACACCGACGCAGCTCACACTAGTTTTTAGCTAGTTATATCTTCAAAATACAGTTAAAGTTTATTAAAACAAAGTGCAACTTAGATTTGTTCAATTTCCTGCTAGCAGAAAACTGTTTTACTTTTTTTTTTCAAAACGTGAGCTCACCGGCACTATATACATAATAATTCCTTGTTTACTTATTTTTTATTTACTTATTTATTAATACTATTCTTTATTTAAATTAACGTTAATAGATGCTAAAACGCTATTTTCAATGTATAGGCATTTATATTTAAACAAGTTTACATGTAGACAATAATGTATTTATAAGTGAAAATAAAGATTTACTTTACTTTACTTACTTGCGTTTTTAAGTTCTAGAATATGTCTTTTGGGTGCCCCGAGAAATCTGAAATATGAGAGCGAGTAAAATATGACCTTTGAGTTTGAAATGTGATTTTTCGTATTTGAGCCAAACAAAAAAGCACAAAAATTCTGTTTAGATCGCCCATTAAAAAAAATTCGCACAACGCTTTTTGAAATAGGTTTATTCGCAAGAGAAAGCCTGCGAGCGAGTGACATCCGAGGTCCCTGCTGCCATAGTCTGCTGGGTGATAAAGGGTTCTTGATAAGGGACGATATAAAAGGTCCCCCTACCCTCCCATAGTGGTTGTCTGTTGGGACTATTTCGTTACATCAATACATCGATTATAGTAATCATTAGTTTGGAATACAGAGGAGATAATTTATTACGTACTTCGATTAAACCTTTTAGTCATAAACCTAAGGATTACACAAGTCCAGAGATGATGGGTTAGTGGTATCTCAAGTACATGATGAAAATGGACCAAATCCAGTTGGGCGTCTTCCGCAGTTTTATATTTAAAGAGGAGAATAGTTGATATTATGAATTCTTATCAAAAAAAAAAAATCATACAAATGTATGATAATTCTCATTATAAGCTCCTGTTCTGGTATTGTAGCCCGTTGAGTTCCTTAAATTTGGATGTGCACGCAATCTTGAGAAAACCGTCTATTGGAGGTTCAAAGTCTTTTATCGGCTGATTGATACCCAGCAATTCGTGTGCAACCGTTAAACAAAGAAATGATACTCTAGGGAATGACACGCGGTCTAAAAATGGGAAATTACACCCGCGCAATTAAGCTGATTATAGGCCCTGTTTTAACATCACCCCTAACTACAGCTAAGGTAGTGTGGTTCCACAATGAGAAATAATGTCTTTGAAAGATTCAGGTCGAGTGAAGCAGTAAGCGGTGTCTAAGACGGTTGACTTACAGTGTTCCAAAAATTTTGCCTCGACAAACAAGCCAATAATGCCAGCACTCAGTATGCCTGTACTTGCAGGAGACAGAGCGTAACCCATGCCAAACTCGCGCTCTCTTATTGTWAACCGCAAACGCAGGATTTTAGGAAAGGTATTGAACAGCAAGCCTCCTAGGATACCCGATGACAAGCAGGTCATCAGAATGGTCGTCACTCCTGTTAAAAAGCGGTATCAAGATTCGAAAACTGCGAACAGGAAATGAAGGAACACGAGGACTGACAAAACCCATAATTTCGTGCAGGTGGGAACGTAAAGCCAGCGAGGATTGAAGAAAGAAATTACGATCTTTCGGCATAGCGGGCCGTTTAACAAGAAACGAGCTTTATCTTTTATTTTTGTGTATCAAATTGTACCAAAAGAGCATAAATAAGAGAGGACAACGTCTTAATAACGCGCGCGCCATTTAAATTCCTGGTTGAGCTATTTTTAGTAACCGGACGCAGTTTAAATTCGCCTTACCTTACTCCCCTGCGTCATCAACTTGTTCACTAAAATCGAAACGGAAATAGCGCGGGCGCCACTACATTTCACTGAATTGAAATTTAGAAGTTGATTTTTACGGAGGGAGGAATGAAACCGGAGAAACCCGAAAACCCTCGAAGCCACAGGAGAGAACCAACAAGCACTACCGGGTCGCATTGTCACGCATTRGTCAGAGGCGAGTGCTAGCTAGCGCTCTCACCATTGGGTCGTCGCTTACAATCTTACTCTACTCTATACAAAACTCTACATCTCTTATTCTTTGTTTCAACAAGTTTTCAATTAATTTGCAATTTCTGTCAAGATCGCTTTGTCTTTACCATATTTCTCGTAAGCCTAAAGAGAATAGGGTTCTTTTAGGGCGTTGTATGAAGCTCCACTCCCTCCTGATAATGTTTGTAAAGTCCCTAATTAGATAGTCTGTGGTCTTCAAACCTGGAAAACATCGGAAAGGTGCATGAGAGGTATAAATATTAAGACGAGACATTCAAACAAACGTATACTCTACTTCTGCAACAGTTTTATTATGCTTAGGTTTTTTCATCAGAAGGTTAATCACGGGCGGATCCAGGATTTTGTTCAGGAAGGGGTGCTGCGCACAAAGTTCATGATCCAGGGATCGAGGGTGCATCACTTAGAATCAAAAGGAAAAAACTACTTTGTATTGGCTTCTTCGAAGTAGGGGCACGAAGTCGAACCAGGGAAGGGTTCGCACCCCCTGCTTCCCTTCCTTGGGTCCGCCCCTTTATAGTTACTACATCGATTAATTAGTGAGAGATATTTTCAGCTTAAACGTAGATTATTTCACTAGATGACGTATCAMTCCCTATCGGAGCTATATACTATTTTTTGTCTTGTCTGATGAGAGTATCGGTAGATAAAACTGATTAGCCTAAGTAGAATGTTCGTCATCGCCATCATCTTCATGTTCATTTTGCGATCTTTTCTTTTCATACTTCACTAATATATACGGACGCTTGTCTTTGGGTCCTTCAAAACCAACAAAGCCTTGCATGTTAGGATGTAAAGGAGTAACTATTTGGTTTTTCGATGGCTCTCCTCGGTCTTCGCCTGACAAAAGTAGACCATGGTTGGTTGACGCATCTCTGAGCCAAATTTCAAAACCTSGTGTAATGGGAAAAGACTCCCAACCTTGAAAATGTAAAGATACTGGGTATCCAATGGCCGTTAAGCCCGCAGCATTATATGGCTTTGATTTGGGATCGATTAGGAGCACTTTGAGTATGGAAAAAGTTGATGAAGCTGTAGATTGAGTCCGGTTCATCTTATAAACGCGAAGGTCGGCAGATATGACTCGTTTGACTTTGAAATAAGGCTTGGTGATGTTGAATTTGAGTATTGCCGATTTACAGGTATTGATGTTGGTCGGCCAATTGCTGGTATCTGAAAATAAAGTAAACATTTAATTTTGATTTGAGGCATCCAGATGATAATACGCTCAACAAATTTGAGCAACTTAATTGGAGCAACTTAATTAATTGTACAACTTATAATACCTTCTTGGTCGTAACGAATGGAAATTGTGTTGCCACTTGAGCTACTCGTGCTATCGTGATGGTGCCACAAAATCGGCGACTCCGATGATAAAGTGGGTCTGCCAACAGTAGATATTCCATCAGTAGGCTTGGATGAAATGGGTGCGAAAAACAGGCACAAGACCAAAATAAGCAGCATTTTCACTATAGGGTTGTTTCAACGAACCAAAGTAGATGAATCTCTTTATCAATAGAGTAGCTTGTTTGATTTAGTGTGCCTATAACTTCTCTTTCGTATTGAAACTGGTAACCGATGCATTGCCTATTTCACAGGTTGATATTTTTCTTCATCCAATCATCTTTCCTCGTCATTACGTTTGCAAACAAATTCGTGAAAAAATTGAAAAAGTCTTGAAGTATCTTTTGACTTGTAAGCTTTATTCGGCAGGTCCCTGTGGAAGCACTTTGAGTTGTAACGGTTGAAGTCATTTTACTGAACCCCGTTGATATTTCGAGCACATTTCATCTAAATTTTTGCTACTAACGATTAGTTTTACAGAGAAAAACAAGAAAAATGTAGTTCGTAAGTTAATAAATATATGTGTGTGCACATAGAGATCATGTATAAATCATTTGTAGCAGCGTGATATCAGTGTCACTCGTGTATCCTATTCACCTGGTTTGAACAAATAGACTGTTTTCTCAAGGTTGCGTGCGCATCCAACTTGACGGGCCACAAAATTCCGTCAAGTTCCTTAAATTTGGATGCGCACGCAACCTTGAGAAAACGTTCTATTGCTAGATACATAAAGAATGCATGAACAAATATCTCTTTTCTGATATCATTTCTGTGTAGTCATTCATTGAAGTACTGTATTTCTATTCCTGTGTTAGTGCGCCATGGCAACTGTCGAACAGCTAAATTAAYGAGTTCTTGACAGCTTTGAAAACTACTGAGAAATTTTCTTGGCTCTGGGAAAGTGATTGAATACTTAATACACGCTCATGCATTTCTCTTCTCTTCGAAATATGCAAAAAACAAAAAACAAACAAACAAAGCAAAACAAAAACAAAACAAACAAACAAAACAAAGACAAAAAACAATAAAGTTAAACACTAAAAGAACTACAACACTAACTAGACCGATTTGGATAATTGGAAACATTTCTCAACAAACAAGTACGGTTTTTGATACAAACTGCATCTACTAGAGAATAGGGGTAAAACCGTTTTGTTCATTAATGTTATTGGTGTTTTGATGTCGGTGAAATAACAAGAAATTTTAGATTTCGCATGAGAAAGTTGACAACGAATGCGCAGTACTAGTAGCGAGCTAAGAACAACCAGCTGTGATGACGCAGTGCTAACTGTTATTCAGTAAATATTTCAAAAATGCCACTTGAAATCGCATTGCCGAGGGTCTCAGTTCCCCTAACTTTCTAGTTCCTCCCGCCTTCGGCCCCCGTTTGCCTCGTTTTTAGCCCCGCACTTGCAAATGTGCTGAGTGGCCCCTGATGTATTATGGGTAAACAGACAAGCTGCTCACGTTTTCGCGCGCATTTAGAATGCATATGATGGACCTTGACATTAAATTTGATATTAATAAAATAAATGCAAACAATTTTACTGACACATATATATCGAAAGAAGGTAAAGCTATGGCCTAATTTTTTTCGCCTGTCACTAGCTGGAACAATTTAAACGAAAAGCCTTGGAACCATACAACCAACGAACCTAAATGCTGGCTCAGAAAAATATGTGAAAGACACTTTCGTCATATGACCTCATGAACAAGAACTCCTCAATGAGACTATTGTCATATGCCAAGTGCTCAATTTCATTTTTTTCTCTCTTCTCCCTGTCCAAGAGGGTGTCACGTGATAGTCATCAAATTTCACTGTTTCCCGATAAATAAGAAAACCGGAAGTGATTTAACCGGAAATGTAGGTAGTTTTTGATTATTTTTTTTTTTAAATCAAAGAATTAAGAAATTAAAAAAACTAAAAAATCGAATAGCTGTTTTGTGTTCTTTGACTTTTGGTATATAACAAAACATTTCTTAATTGGAACTTCGGAAGAGCAGTGTGTTTCCCTCAATTGAAGTAAATAAGGTTTCAGTTAATTCAAACAAACTCCAAAGACAACATCAACAGTTATTTTATACAACTTTTAATGTTGTCCTAGTTGCTTGGCAAAGGTTATTGCTACATGGATTACTGAAGTATTTTCCATTTCTGAGCACGTCTCTCTCCGTATCGGAGGAAGGAGGAATACGCTTCGTCTTTCTTTAACGCATAACATAGATATTAGAATCTTCGTCATCGTCATCTTCATTACATACCATTTTGTTATCTTGCCTTTTTAAACTGCACTAGTAAAATTGGACGCTTGCCTTTGGGTCCGTCAAAACCATAAAAGCCTATCTGGTAGGGACTTACTCGTTTCCCTGACCCGCTAACTGCTGCATTTACAAGTAGACCATGATTGGTTGACCCGTTTTTAAACCAGGTTTTAAAAGTTTGTGTTATCATGATGGAGTGGTACATTAAGTCATTTCTGTCCCGACGTGCACCAGTAATCGGTAAGTAAGGGTTTGGCCCAGTAGGAAGGATTTGGTAGAAATTCAAGCTGTAGTTGGCGTACTTTGACTGGGACAGTTTATTTTTATGTATTATAAACTCTGCAGCTTTGATATCTTTGACTTGGAATGAAGGCCTCGTGATGTTGAATTTGATTATTGCCGCGCTGCTGCTATTGATATTAGTCGGCAAATTGCTTGTATCTAAAAAACAGAAAGGAATATTTCTTAATTATTTGATATCTGCAGAATAAAATTACTTATTAATAGGCTGGAATCGGTTGAGAAACCTGATGAGATAAAAGATTATTGGATAGGTATTGGGAAGCGATGACCGTGTTATTCAGTGGATATTGATTCGTACAAGRGGACTAAAATAGAAAGYAGAATACTAGTGATAAACAGATTCGTACAAGGCTCTCCTTTCAGAACATACAAACATGTCGGACATAGAGAGACAAATCACTACTCCACTGCGACCGGATTCCGACGACAAATTCATTTTTTGAGTGGATCTACCGGATAGATCGACAGGAACAGTTCATTCTGCGTTCCAGTGGCGATCTGGTGGCCACACAGGCAATCCATCTTATTCTTTTATAATAACACAGGTATAAAGACTATTAAAAAACAACAACAGAAAAACACAGGTATCCCAATCAAAGAGACTTCGGGTACCGTATACGTAACAGTTTGTTCCGTTGGCGATATACTTCACGCTAATGAAGCTAGTAAATCTGGCCATCCTGTTTTAAGGTGGTATTACACAAAACAAATTAGCATTTTGAAGTTGTCAAAATTCAAAACATCATTAATTGTAATCTTTAATCACTTCTTAATCATACAGTTGATTTTCTTAATTTGCCGAAATG